ATCACCACAGAGACTGTCTGCGGACAAATGCTGGCTCCCTCAGCTAGGAAACCGAGATGAGCACCGCCCCCTAGAGCCAGGCATGATTGGACTTAATGTCAAGGGGAAACCTTTACCTTTACCTTTACCTGTACCTTATCTTTAATCAGCATGGGTAATTTCTCACTTGATATTTGATTCATGTTTGGATTTTCTGGTTTCAGCAAAGTAGAAAAAATTATGAGTTTGCACATAAGCAGGTTCAACATAAAAAGATTTATATACTGATGACGTATTACTTATTAGCAGGTTAGAGTATCTCTTGATTTGGAAAGATGGGAATAAGGCATATGATGAAAGTTTTAGCACAAGTAATTTATGTATTGCACAATATTTAGATATCTCCCGATCCTATTTTCATAAGCTCTATGCAACATTTCTGTAGTTTCGGGGGTGCATGTGTTCTCCTCTCCAATTTTCACTTAAGCGAATGTACGTATTTGTCAATGAGGGAGGGAGGGATTTTATTTTCCAGATCTTAATTTTTATCATAAGGCTTTTTCATTTAATACTGCTCCATGGATTGTTTTGGAGTCCTCTGTTCGACACCTTTGTTCAGCTGGATGGCAACAGGAGCAAGCGACATAAACAACCAAAACCCCAAAATGGTTTCCCCTGCAATTTTGACAGCGAGCAAGACATAGTATGTGTCACAGTGGTTGCAATTCGATTCTGATTCTCATGTTAAATGAACTTTACAGGGAAACCCTGACTTGGAAGTAGAGAAACAGACTTTTTTGTGGAAGCACGATTAAGAGTTTAAACTTTAGATAAGTTTACAGGAGCAGATGATGACTTTTTGCCATTTTCAGTAATGCAATATATATATCACTTATCATCTAGAGCATAGGTCCTCAAACTACGGCCCGTGGGACGGATCCGGCCCGCCATGGCCATCCATCCAGCCTGCGCCAGCGTTTGCTGCCCTCATGCGCGCTTGCCGCACCGGCAGGAAGGTGGTGGCTCGCTCGTTCAGAGAAGGTTTTGGACTCGCTGGGAGATCTCCAAGCGAGAGACCCACCTCCGTCCACGCCCGATGCCACCTCGCACGCGCCCAACAGCACCTCACTGGCCCGCAGCCCCACCTCACTGGCCCGCAACGGTCACCACAGCCTTTCAACTGGCCCCCTATTCAAAAAGTTTGAGGACCCCTGATCTAGAGCAAGGTGATAAGGCATTCAGTTGCAACACCTTCTGGTGTCCATACTTGGGCCCGCAGTATCTCCTACACTGTTTATATATATATATATAAAAATTAAAAAAAATTAACTAAGACTATATATATATATATAAACAAACATTAAAAATTTTAAACTAAGACAAAAAAAAATCAAACATCACAAACATTAACATTGGATTCACTGGGTCAACCTCCTACTACATATTTTTTAACATTCTACCATCAAATTCCAGTTAGTTTATCATAGTTTGAAAAACATCTCTAAATTTATGCCAAGTCCCATTTCTCCAGTCAATTATAAAAAGAGTCCCAAGTTCGATAGAAATCAGTATCCTCTTTCTCCTTCAACGATAAAGTCAGTCTATCCATTTCTGCACAGTCCAAGATCTTTCTTAGAATCAATCCATCAGTGGGCAGCTCCTCACTTTTCCAATATTGAGCAAATGCAATCCTCACCGCTGTAATCAGATGCAACATCAAACAGATTTCCTGTCTGTTAACATCTTTCGGTGTAATGCCTAACAAGAAAACTTCGGGTTTAAAAGCAAAGGGTTTTTGTAATATTTCCTCCATCCATCCATGTATTTTAATCCAGTACTTTTTTGCGTTGTCACAAGTCCACCACATATGATAAAAAGTACCCACTTAATGTTTACATTTCCAGCATCTATTTGACATATTTGGAAACATCTTAGCTAGTTGACTTGGTGACAAATACCATCTATAGAACAGTTTATATAAGTTTTCTTTATACAAAGTTTCTTTCCCATAGTTTTTGCCACTTTTCTAGTTCAACATTAAATCCAAAGTTTTGTGCCCAAATTATCATAGTTTCCTTAACCTATTCTCCTTCCATTTTCCTGTCAAGTAAAAAATCATATAGTCTTTTAATAATTTTCTCATCTATTTTAAGCATCACTTGATCAAATTCTGTTAGGTCTCTATAGAACTCCCATGTTTTACAATCCTTAGCATATCTTGATTGCATCTGCACCTTATACCACCAGGAAATATTAAGTCCCTGTTCTTGTATTTCTTGCTCCAGTTTCAGGCCACCATCCTTATCCAGGATATCGCCATATCTTATGATCTTTTCAAAGTTCAATACATTTGGATATACAAAAGCTTGCATAGGTGAAAGCCATCTTGGTAACTTTTTATACAGTTTTAGCTTTAGGTTTTCCCACACTGACATTAAAGATCTTCTAATAAAATGACTCAGGAAGGACCCATGTGACTTAGCTTTTTCATACCACGTATAAGCATGCCATCCCATCTGCAAGTCATGACCTTCAAGATAAAAAATTCTCTTATTTTGCAACGTTACCCATTCTTTTAGCTAAGTTAAAACAGAGGCTTGATCATACAACATCCAATCAGGAAGACCAAAACCTCCATTTCTTTTAGCTTCCTGAAGCATTTTTAATTTAATCCTTGGGGTTTTTTTTCTCCAGATAAACCTCGAGATATGAAAGTTTAAGTCATCAAAGAATTTTTCATCAATTTTTATGGGAATCATTTGAAACAAAAACAAAAGTTTAGGTAATATATTCATTTTGACAAGAGCTATTCTTCCCATCAAATGTAATTGTAAATTGGCCCATTTTTCCAAAAAGCCTTTAATATCCTTCAATAATTTATCATAATTGTCTTCTTTCAAGGTAGTACATTTAACTGTAAGATAGATTCCCAAGTATTTAACCTTTTTAACAATCTGCAAGTCTACTTGTTCCTGGAGTCTTTCTTTTTGTTCTCGCGTAACGTTTTTAACTAACAATTTCGTTTTTTCTCTATTTATTTTCATTCCTGTAACTTCACCATATTCTTCAATCTGTTGTAGAAGTTTGGGCATTGTTGAAAAAGGTTCCTCCATTATAAAAACCAGATCATCCGCAAATGCTTGCAATTTATAACTTTCATCCCTAATTCTAGTTCCTTTGATGTCCTCGTCATCCCTAACACATCTATTCAGTACCTCTAAAGTCATAATGAACAAGAGGGGTGACAGAGGACAACCTTGTCATGTGCCCTTTTGATCGCTATAGGGTTTGAAAGTTCTCCATTAATTAAGATCCTGGCTGATTGCTTTTGATAAATACTTGAAATCGCATTCATAAATCTTTCACCAAACTCCATTTCAATCATCTGTTGTTTCATAAACTGCCAATAGCATCTCCTACACGGTTAAAGGAATTGGCTCTTCATGGAACACTAGGCCTACAGCAGTCATCTTATACATGTTTGGAATATAATAAAATAGAGGCTCAATGTGTTAGAGAGGTGTGACGGAGAGAATTTGAATGTTCTGTGCAGCTGACGCAATGGGAAGTTTTCATAACTTCCGTAAGTGCTAGTTCTATATATTTAAAACTGAGTATGATACAACAAAAATGATGCTTTTTGTATCCTGGATGCGACAAAAGCTGGTTAAGGAAAAGCTGGCTAGCTCTGCTATATGCTGCTAAGACAATGTAGAGAATGCATTGCTGTAAGCATGATGGAAGTGCGCTCTGGAGTGGCTTCTTTCCATTAGTGGCAGCATAATTTTTTTCTTTTATTGTGGTAGCTGTAGGTGCACATGTGCTTTCAAATTATATCACTGTGATGTGGAGATTAAAAGATGTCTAGAAAAAGTGAAAACTGAGAATCCTTACAGTTGCAAAGGGAACTATGCTCTAAGCCTGAAGGATAACCACTAATCACTAAAAGGACAGAAGACCTTGCTGCTCTTGCTGTATTTAAAAGTATATCTTAAGAATCATCAATTGTGCCCACATGTTTATTTAGATACATGATTTGCTCATATTAACATAAGCAGTGAAGTAGTAGTTCCCCTCTACTCAATTCTGGTTAGGCATCATCTTGAGTACTGCAAGGTGTGATGAAAAGTTATTGCAAAGGGATGCAAGGTTTTTCTGGTTATGTTCTTGCTACTGGTATTGTGGCTTGCAAACCTTTTGGTTTGGTCTGGTCATAAATGCAGACGTTTTTAAAGTCTCGATTCCAGTACTGCCTCCCCAAAATCACCACTGGTAACAGTGTACTTCCCTCTGTCCCCGATCATCCAGAAGCCATGGTCAGCAATTCACCTCAGTGACCCATTCCATTGGCTGCCATTGTGTTCAGAAACGGTTTGCTTCTTCAGCAGAAACAGACCATGTGCAGGATACTACTAATTTGTACATATGAGACCCTATTCACACAACCACTGGGAATGTGATCCCTGAGAGAAAGGGAAGCGTGGAAAAGGCCTTTGTGCTCGATCTGCCACCAGAAGTAGATTGAGAGTTATACAAGGAATCAATGGAATGTTGTAATAATCAATGGAAATCAACCAACTCTTCTCTAGTGTCCAGTTCACTGACCTACAACCCCTTCCAAATTTTTATCAAAGTAGCTCACAAAGAATATGCTTCAGCTTTGATTTCTGTAGCATTGTTCCTTATACCTCCTTTATTAAGTCTTTCTGGGAGTGTTGGAGCATATGTCTGCAATAAAAATGCATTCACAAGAGGAAAATGGCATCACGCAGGCAGATGGATTTGCTTCCATGCACCTTCAGGATTCCAACATACACAGGGCTTTCCATTTATTTTATTCAAGGGCCTGGGCTGGAGCTAAGACCATTGCTTTACATTCAGGGTTTGGTTCTCATCTTTAAGGAAAATTACAGAAGGTCTCAATATTACTATATATACAATTATGTTCAAAATCAATGCAAATAGTATTAAGAACTATATCACCTTAACAAATTTGTCACAGATCGGGTATTAACCCTTACCTGGTAAAAATAATTCTTCTTGTATCTTTGCTCTTGCTTGTTCAGAAAAACATCTCTTCTTCAACCATTCAGCCTCAAATTCACTAGTGTGGTCATCTGGCCATATAATATATACCTTATTCCATAAAATAGAAAGAAATATACATTGAAAGCCAAAAAAAAAAAAAAAAAAAAGTAATCTTACATTCTATTTGCTTTGCCAGCTTTTTCAGAGAGGAGAAGTAAAAATTTCTCAGCTCGCATAATTTCTGTGTGTACCATGCATTTTTCTTGTACACAGCATTTGAAAGTAGGTTGCTCCAAGTTCAGTGGGTTTAAAGAGCAGTGACATAAAAAGAGATGTGCTGGATAAGACTAAAGCGCTTCCAGTCAACCCTTCTGTTCCTAGAATGATCAGTCAGAAGGTTCTTGGAAAGTCACAGGCAGAAGAGGAGCACAGCATCTGCTGCCACTTGTGTTCCCTGACAACTAGGGACGGCGGCATACTGCCTCTGATTCTGGTGCTGTTATTTATTTAATGCCTAGTAGGCACTATTGTCCTCTCCTCCAAAAATTTATCTAACTTCCTTAAAGAAGTCTGAATGTTATTTCAACCATCGTGGGCTGCAATGATCATGTGAACCTGGTCAATGTGACAGACCCAGAGTTTTAAAATCCAGCAGTGGAAATATCCCTAAGCAAAGTTCTACTCAGGATGCTCCTGCTGGTGGAACACGGGGGTAGGGGTTGTGGGCAGGAGAAATTTTTGACAGTTCTTCCCTTCTCCTGCCGCCTTCAGTGTCACTTTCCTACTATTCCAGAGTGGCCTGAAAACTTTGGGGGAAGATTTTTTGGTTACAGGGGGTGCAGGGAGAGAGGGAAAATCAGTGGAGGGTAATTCTTTTCTCTCTCCTTCATTCAGCCCATGGAAAAATGCCATTGGAGCCAACCTAGAGTGCAAAAAATATAGAGAGATTTGTGGGGACTAAGCTCACTTCTCCTAAAATGTAGCCTTCTAAGGGTTACTGTCTTAGAATCTGAATAAGAACTGAAAGAAGACAGAATTGAATCCTTAGCTGAAATGCCAAGGCCATCAGGCCAAGAGTCTGGTGAGAACCAGACCACATCTGGTTCTGTAGGAAACACAGTAAGAGGAAGATTTGGATGGGCTTAACAATATTAGTCGAATTAAACAGCATCAGACCAAACAGGCAGTCCAATTGTCTAGTAAGAGACATTCTCCCTGATGGGCCTAGAGAAGCAACATGAACCATCCCCAAGGTGGAACCAACCTCTTTGGGTTGGGAAGAAGAGGTATTCAGTTTGGAATCATCAAGCCACATGTCCTTAATGGCTAAAATTCTAACATGGCTGGTACCTTTTGTTAATAAGTACTCCAATACTCTTCATTTATATCACAGAGATAGCCTAACTGGCTAGTTTTAAAATATCAAAGACTCTAGTTAAAACCCTTTCAGTCTTGATCTGCTTGTGAGGTGAATGGTAAAACTACACAATCCTATGCATGTTTACTGAGAAGTCCCAATTTGTTCACTGAAGCTTATTCTCAGGTACATGTGCATAAATAAGGCTGTAGCTTTAAGGAGTCTTATCACTGAAAAGCAACAACAGTGGGTCTGTGATTGAAATTCAAATAATGAAATATGAAACAATGGTTTTAGCATGCCCATACATAAGACACACGTGGACATTACCTTTTTCCTATCTATCGAAGTGACATTCTTTGTCCCAATATTGACATCCAGGTTTTCAAGAAGCAGTTTACGTGCTTTAGCAGAGCCCAGGAAGCAATCGGGGCACTGGCAATTGTCTCTTAGCCACACAGAAGGGTAAAGGCTCTGACTCCCATCTTCCCAGTGAACACACACAAACTGATTTGCCTCCAGGGCTTCAACTTTCTGGATGGCTGCATGTGTGCCAAGGGCCTGAAAGGCCTGTGCCGTTCGAAGCGAATGATGCCAAGGCCCCCTGCTCAGGCAGAAATGCCTTCGATGACTGTGCTTGCCCTTTTGTGCTTGCAGCAGCCTTCGGGACCAGTCTTGATGGACTTTGCTTCTTAACAAGTATTTAGCGATTGCTTTCCACATCTTGGGCTTCTTGAGTTTGAGTTTCACAAATCCTTCTGCCTCTACAAAAGTTCTCTTCAGGTCAGTGTTGTGAGAATTATGTATGTTGCTGAAAAGTCAAAAGGAAAAACGATTCTGTTCAAAAAAGTGTCAGTTGTTCTCCCCACTGTTTCTTTTCTCTTGCTCACACCAAGCTCAGTAGTCATATATTTCAAAGTTAATTTTACTATTGGGAATCAACATTGGTATTTGGGTCAGTAAAGATACCTGACTGGACTATGTTCCTGGAGGGCAGACAGTGAGCAGGTATTGCAAAACAAAGCATTTTAATGATAATATTATCACAAACTGCACCCATTAGTTCCTTTCCCTGCCACCTTATGCCATGAGATACTGGACAAATTGCTGCACTTTCTCATATCCTGGTACCTGATATGCATCATCCCATGTACCTGAGATCTGGTACCCTAAAAATGATGATCTCTATGGGATTCTTAACCAAGGGCACATTTTCCTACAATTGTTCTTTGCCCTACCATTCAAACAGGTATGCTTTATTATCCCAACTGCTGCAAAATTCACATGAAAATTCTCTGAGCTTACAAACACAGAGTTACATTTTTAGGGAAAGAAGTCTCAGCATATGAATAATTATCCAAGCACTTGTGGCAAGGGACACTACAAGCACAGTATTTTATCCAGATGTTGAAACGGTAGAAAAGACCAATTTGAGCATAGCCTGGTCAGAAAATACTTTATATAGTAGTGATATGAATTATAAGCGAGAAATTAAATATCCAGAAAACATTTTCCCTACTGCACACTCCTCTCCCATATGCAGGTGTGCATATACTAAACCACCTTGTATCCTTTTTAGATCTGGAGACACATACACTGCTCCCCACATTAAATAAATGGAACACCACACCAGGAAACCAGATTTTACTTCTCCCACCCATGAAGCGAGATGGGGTGGGGTGGGCAGGATGGTGGCAGTAGAAGCCCTCCAAATCAGCCAGGTTTGTGGTTTTCTAGATGACTGGCAAGTCTAGGTGTGATTGGTCACTCCATTAATAAAAGACAGAGCGCTCACACTTATAATGCTGGTCTGTTTAAGGTTCAAAGGAAGAATGATTTTTCCTGGGGGGGAAATCATGAGGATGAATTTTGCAGTATCCATTTACTTCAGTTAGCTGGGGAGGCCCAAAGCTGCCAATTTTTATTTTTTTTTAATTGGCATGAAGAATGATGAGACTGGAAAAAATAATAAATGCACAATTCCTACTGACCTCACAGCTTAACAGCCTGTCAAATCTAATAGCTTTAATTTTTCATGCTTATATCTGCAAGCCACAAAAAACAGAACAGCTGACTACATGAAATTGGCATGTTGTTTACCCGCATGGTATCATAATGGAGAAAGTATGAGATATGTCTGTGCTAGAATATATGGTTTGCCATCCATCCTGGGATGAAGGATTTTAAATTACATCTGGTAGGGAGTTTTGTTTTGGTATTTTGCTTTTGTTTGTTTTTTAAAGTTTCATATAATGTAGCACAGGACAGCTGTTTCAGTAAAACCAACAAACAAATGTGCCTATGCAACCCTCAACCATCTTCTCATAGCAGTACACAGGGTCCACATTCCTGGGACTTGCATGATTCTTTCTGCCCTGTCTTCTGCTCTCTCTATGCCTTCTATATTCATGCTTATGTCAGCTCCATGCTTCTCACTGCAGTTTCAAATTCTTCCTCTCAACCACATTTTGGCACCAGGATCCTCCTCTCACTCAACTCCATTCCCTTTTTTTCCAACAAAACTGCATCTTAGGTTGTCTTTGGGTTGGCTCCTACTTCCTGCACTTTCCCATCTCTTTAGTCCATGCATTCCTTTGCAATCTCCCAATCTGATGCCTTCTAGATGTTTTGGACTTGAACTCTCACTAGCCCCTCAAACCAATTGGCCAATGATAAAAAATGCTGAAATTGCACTACAGAGCCCCTATTCTATCATGTATTGCTCAGGAATAATGAGAAGAGCAGAGCTGAAACAGACATTTTATTGAGAGGTGGATCCCACAGGAGTAATCAGTATAGGAGCTGTCCCCCTCTACATGATTATGAATGAGTTCCGTTCCAGAGAAAACTGAAATTTGTCTTTAAGTTGAATTTGTATGTAAGATGGATCCTGCATCGTTAGCTCTCCACATTCGCTGGTGTTTGGGGCACAGGATCCCCTTGAAAGTGAAAAACCGTGAACATTTCTAGCCCCTCCCCTCTCCAGTGCTAGCTCTCTCCAGCAAGAAAATGCCAGAGAGATTTCCTTCTCCAGATGGATGGGGCAGGACGGCAAGTTTTGGAGGGCCTCCTCCTCTCCCCCTTCACTTCCTCTTTCTCTATGGTAATGACAATTTTCCACAGTAATTTTTAAACATTAATAGGTTATATGGCAATGCGTTTGTAGCTTGGACATTTGTAACTTGGGTACTGCTTGTATACCCAAGTGCATAACCTGTATGGATAGAAATTGTAGAAGCAGGAGGGGACTAGGCTGGAAGGGCCATGTAAAATAAGCAATGGGCTCTTTTTGCTGCAACTGATAACTTACTACTTTGCAATATGTGGCCAGTGATATACATAGGTAAAGGTAAAGGTTTCCCCTTGACATTTTGTCCAGTCATGCCTGACTCTAGGGTGCGGTGCTTATCTCCGTTTCCTAGCCGAGGGAGCCAGCGTTTGTCCCCAGACAGTCTCCGAGGTCGTGTGGCCGGCATGACTAAAGACCGAAGTGCACGGAACGCTGTTACCTGCTCACTGAAGTGGTACCTTTTCATCTACTTGCATTTGCATGCTTTCGAACTGCAAGGTTGGCAGGAGAGTGATTTACATGCGACTCAGTATAACAGGATGATGGGGGTAGGGTATAAAATACATGGCATGTCATTCTTCTTTCCCTGGACACTCATAAATTCAGGTAAATTAGCTTGTGTATGTTAGGTGTACTGCTTCTGCTACGGACAATCCAACTCTATAAAACCAAAGAATTTAATATTGCACATATTCTTCTAACTGAAATCATCATTCTATAGTTTCATTTTCATTTGTCAAAACTATTTCATGGACATCTAAAGGCAGTTTGATGGGATTGGTTTAGCCTTATTATCTACAGTACTTATTTTTACTGGTCTACCAGAAAGAAGGTCTTTGCTGAATAAAACTGGAAGTTAATTAGGAATCCCATGGGAAGGCTCTTGATATGCTAGAAAATGCCTTGGACAGGGATGTAGCAATGCCTTGTAACTTTAACTGGATATAAACTATATCTTAAATACTAAACACTAAGCAAAAAATGAAAGAGGTAGAGCAATCAGCCATTTGGATGTAACCATGACTTTACTGGTCCCTTAGCAGTGACCCAATAGACCAAATCCATACCTGGGGTAACTGCCCAAACTCACAAAGTTTACCCTATAACACAACTTGGAATCATGCAGCACCTTCATCTGAAAATACATCCTACACACACCCAAACACACCATGGACTATACATGGCTCTGCTCACAAACTCAGATCACAAAGTGTACAAAGGGTCATTTGGGGAAACAGGTGGAAAATACTCTATGTTACCTTCCACTTTTTTCCTGACTGTGATGGACTGCCTCTGTCTGGGCAGATTACCCAAGTCAGAGGATGACTAAAGGACTTCCATGCCTCGTCCATTTTGCAGTGTAGCTTGGTGTGTGCTCTGCAAGAGGTATATTGCATGTCATTCATTCCAAGCAAAAGTCTTCAAAATGCTACCCCTCTAGACTTTTCTCGTCAGAATCCCCTGGCCTTTGAATATAACACATTTCAGATTTCTGCTTGTTGAAGAAATACCAAGGCAGGGACATCTATTTATACATAATTATTTCAAGCAAATATTGACTGACAGTTTTGCAGCTGTGAAAATGAATAAAGTCCAACTATCTGGACCACATTTCTATTATGTCTTTCACTGAAGTTGGATGGAATGAGGTTTCCACTAACATCAATGGAAAAACATAGATTTATTCCAGCTGAAGGACTCCATCATATGACAAGAAGATAATCTACCACTAAGATATTTTACACTCTATTTTTACTAGCGTTTACATTATTAAACTATTTAATAATGTGTACCTAGTTATTTTTGAAACTGAACATATGCACATTTTAATACTTTACAATTGTTAATTTCAATTAGTTGTACAAAATTTTTAAAAAGTCTAAACAAGGCAATTAATGCTCCACCCACCTTCCTGCTCTATTTTACACAAAGCAAATGCTCAGAACAAAATTAATCCACCCCAGACATGTGAATTGGCTTCAGCTAATGTAAGTTTCAAAGAAATCACTATTAATTCTCTTTATTTCTAATTATGAAGCTGTGGTTTAAAGAATGAGGGCTGTTTGTTACCAGCATGCAAAGACGCAGGGACTGACCTTTCTAGAGGAGGAATGGCTGAAGTTCTGCAAGTGTTTATTAGCTGCCATTATTCAGATACAGCTACGAATGCTTCCTCTATTTTTCATTATTTTGATGTAGCAGTAAGTGCTTCCCAGGGATAAGAGCAGCTTGAGGATGGACCACTGTTGCTGCAACTGCAGCGGGGGAGGAAAAGGTCACCAAACCATCCCTGCAGTGTATGGACCCAATCTTTAATAGAGATCTTGTGCCTGAGAGTATGTGAAGACCGCCTCTCTCACCAGACTGCTACCAGAAGGGCTTCTAAGGAAATAGCTTGCCTTAAGGAGATGGGAAAAGAACCCAATTAACCAATCAACTACCTCTCGTTCTCCACTAATCCAGGTGAGGCAGTGGCTGTGCTGAACCGGTGCTTGGCCGAGGTAAGGGAATGGATGAGGGCCAATAAACTGAAACTCAACCCAGACAAGACGGAGGTCCTGTTGGTTGGCGGATCGGGTTTCGGAGAGGGTGGATTTGACCTGGTCCTGAATGGTGCAACACTCCCTCTTAGGGATAAGGTCCACAGCTTAGGAGTACTCCTCGACCCGGAGCTTTCTTTGGAAGCTCAGGTGACAGCGGTAGCGAGGAACGCCTTCCTTCAGCTTCGGCTGATTAATCAG